CTCTGATTAATAAGTGATCTCACACAAAGAGCCCTGATTGCTGCACTATTTCTCTCTGAGAAGGACAAAAGAGGTAAAAAAAAACAAAAAAACTTCCAAGGTTAACTTGAGATGTAATGGTTATGGATATGGCCAGATTATATGGCTCCAGACAAATATCATAATCCACCATTTTGATTTTACATCTAAAATACATTTTATGTCAGAACAGAACTGGATGAGAATACAAGGCTAAATAGTTTTTGTTATTTTTGGACCAAAACGTATTTTCGATGCTTCAAAACACTCTCTAACTAAGCCACTGATGTCACATGGGATACTTTAATGATGTCTTTATTTCCTTTCTGGACAAGGACAGTATACTGTGCACACATGTTCAACGGAGGGACAGAAATCTCTCGGACTAAATTTAAAATATCTTAAACTGTTCTGAAGATGAACAGAGGTCTTACGGGCTTGGCACAACATGAGGGTCATTAATGACATCATTTTCATTTTGGGGTGAACTAACCCTTTAACAACATTTCAACAAAATTAAGCAAATTTTGAACCTGGATTTCTGTTCTTGAAATGTAGGCAAATTAGGACATAATTAATTAGATAATGCCCCATTTTCATGTTTAAAGGGTAACTAAACCCTTGGTCAGAGCCTGACTCCACCCACTGGCAATATTTGAAAAATGCTGAAAAAGTGGGAAGACCCCAGCGGAGATAGAGGGGACGAAATAGATACTAAAACACTCTATCCTGATCGTTTTTAATACTCGCAATTCCAACTCCTGACTCCCTACAGTGGTTTTGACGAAACAAGCTGGTTTTTATACTGCCAAGGGCGTAGCTCGCGTGGTGAGCTGAAACCTCGGTACGTCACGAAGTGTGGAACATCCAATAGGAAAATTCAACTGCAGTAGCCACCGTTCAACCTGAAGAGGGCAGCACTAAGACGTTTTTACACCATATATTGTAGAAATAAAATAACACAGTCTCATCCCAAGACGTCATATAACTGACGTCTTGGGGCGTATTTTGACCATACGTCAATATCCGCCTTTTTAGGGCCCCCTTAAACGTCGGTAGATGGCGATCGCGGGCCGTCATACAACTGACGCTTTACCTTTAACGTCAGTTAGGTGACGGGTTAGGTTTAGGGTTAGGTTTAGGTCTGGGGTAGAGTTAGGATCCCATAACCTCATCTACCGACGTTTAAGGGGGCCCTAAAAAGGCGAATATTGGGGTATGGTCAAAAGACGTCCCAAAACGTCAGTTATATGACGTCTTGGGATGAGACCGGGTTGAATAAAACACTTTATACACAAATGTCAAAAAAGTTACTCGAATAAATGACTGGTATTAATAAAGATCCATTCTTACAGATCATTAACTAAAAAAAGTTGGTTTAGTGTTTAGTTACTCTTTAAAGGTGCATTGCGCAAATCTATGAGTTTTTGCAGAACTACGCCCCCTCTGGCGACAAGCGAAACTGCAACCAGAGGTGTGCACGCTTATGGACCACACACACACACACACGCACGCTTGCACGAGCTGTTCATAACCAAAGGAGCATTAGCCGCACAGATCTTTCGTTACAGTCATAATGTCTTCAGAGGTAATAAAGTTATAAATCTGCAAGTCTTTTAAATATATGAAAGGAAAGGCGTTTGAGTAAATTACACACTTATGTGTTTGTAAGGGGAAAACGGGGTTTTGTTTCCATCTATCTCCATGTTGAACTGTTTTATGTGTTTACTGTATCCACTTATGATTGTATTATTATGGAACAGCCCATTCTCACCCCCAAGGCGTCACTTAACTGGCATTTGGACATGCTTCAATATCTGACGCTTTAGGCGCCCTTTAGCGTCAGTTAGATGACGCCCTAGGATCGCGTGTACCCTACCCCCACCCCACACCTAAACCTAACCGCGTCCTCTAACAGACGCTTTCCTTTAGCGTCAGTTAGATGACGCCGTAGAATCGCGTCATGTAAGTGACGCCTAAAACGTCAAATATTGAAGCATGGTCAAAGGTGACGCCTTGGGGTGAGATGGAAACATGTTCATGAACAATATAAGTTATTACTTTGTGTAGGACCCGTCTGAGCCCTAGAGCAGACCGGAGATCTCTCGATTCGTTGAAAGCTTCCCGATGTCGACTCTCGTCTTATTCCGACGCCTGGCACTAGACAAAAGTTTTATTTTCTTTGTCTTACGTGGAGTTTGCGTTGGTGTTTGGAATGAACTACAAGCCGGTCTCTTTGAATCCATCTTCTACTTTTGTGGAAAGTTGACTAAAGTTGTGTCGCTTGAGTTGTCTTCGCTGATACAGAGAATGGCGGCCAATACACAAACCTGCCAGACATAGCCAGGTGATCGAGAACACGCATGACGTCATGCCCAGTCTCAAATCCGTCCCGAATCGCTCTGATTATTTTACTGTAAAGGCTTATTCAGCCCATCAGGCGATTGTTTCAGCATGTATGGGTTAGAAAAATGGGTATTTTTAACATGAAATGTTATGCAATGCACCTTTAAACAGAATTTCTAAAAACTAAAAAAGTTTTCAGATGGGGAACAGTCCATAACTTACATTTTTTAGCCTATTCACTTGGAACGTCTTGCTTTAATTAAGGGTCTAAAATCCCAAGTAGCAATGTCTTGCCTTAGCAAACACTCCTAATATGTCAACATTAACACAGGCCTTTTATATAGTCCATGTATAAGTCAACTTTAAATGGTAAAGTGCAATTGAGTACTGTCAAATGCAATGGCACTTGAGACCCGAGTCAGTTAGTGTTCGAAGAGAATGACTTGGTAGATTTCTTCAGCATTGAGTATACTGTGGAAACACTGAGTTCATATGGCCAGTGCTCCTGGCAAGTTTCTATGTGTTCGCTGTTTTTAGGACACGCTGTCAATTTCATCACAGCTCAGAGACGAAGACCTAAAAGGACGCTTGCGGTGACCGACGTGACATGGCAAAACAAAGACGCATTCGACTTGTCAGTTCGCACCTCTTTAAAGCCTCTATGCACCTAAATCACCCTCCATCATAAATAACCAGCTCTTAATGGAGTAATTTACTCACGACCCCCATCGACAGATCTTTTATCCTTCGGCAAATGTCAGGCATTTACCGAATCAATGGCGTGAGTTATGAAAAGGGACGGAAAGCCTTGTCTCCCCTCTCTTCTCAATAACAAAAGCGGAAGCGCATTAAAACCCAGCATTGATGGCTTGTCGTGAGCTGCAGCCAATGATCTCTTGCCACACAAGTTCAAATTAAAAGGCTGTTAGTGGGAAACTAGTTTTGTCTGGTCATCAGTCACCTCCTGAAAGGCCTCTTACCGTGAGATTAATTAAAGGCTTGAGGAGAGGAAGAGAGGAGGCGGAGCGGTTGATCAAATATCCGGCTTCTTCTGCATCACGAGTTAATACTCCTCAGCTTTGCCTTGACTAAGTGTTATTGCGGCAGTTCATAATTTCGTCTTGGAAATGGGCGAGAGATGATCTTCCTTATAGTAATTGAGTATTGATTTGAAAATAAACAGCAGCTCAACTCCCACCCAACTGACAGGCCATCCCTCGGATGCGATCGACAATAAATGGGCCCCGGGTTCATAGGAAAGTTATGGATCACGCTGATACAGTCAAGCGCAGTGTTCTGCTGCAATCTTTCCTCCGATATATATTGGATTTTAGATAAGCCATTTATGAAGCTTGTCATCTAAAACCTATCGTTAGGCCCAGGCCGAGTCTGCAGACCTTTTATTTTGTTGAAAATCGGTGGAATAGGTTTGAACGTGATACAATGTTTCCATCCAAAGTTGCGAATTTAAATTGTGCGCACAATTGGAATATCTCGTAAAAATGTACGAGATGTGTCCATCCGATGTGTTCATGTGAACAAATTTGTCGCTTGCTGGCAAATTGGTGCCGAATATTTGCAATAAAAATGGAAGTTGTTGCAATTTGATTCAATACAAAAATGTATTGTGCTTCAGGTCGCGCAGACAAAATTCAATGAACGCCATCATGTTAGTAGTAGTAGTACTAGTTAGGAGTAGTTCACTTTAAAAAAAAAAATACCTTTGCTGATAATTTACTCACCCCCATGTCATCCAAGATGTCCATGTCTTTCTTTCTTCAGCCGAAAAGAAATGAAGGTTTTTGATGAAAACATTCCAGGATTTTCTCCATATAATGGACTTCAATGGGAACCAAACGGTTCAAGGTCCAAATGAGAGTTTCAGTGCAGCTTCAAAGGGCTTTAAACGACACCAGACGATGAATAAAGGTCTTATCTAGCGAAACTTATCTAGTATGAATTTGTACAAATTACGAATTTTATGTACGAATTGGTCATGAGATAGCATTGGAAATATATCATGCATGTAGATAAGTGGGGTCAAGTGCAAAGATCACATGTGTGGGTTTTGGGGCAGGCCAATTTTCATTGGTTTGGGCCACTGTGCCTCAAAATGTCTGTGCTCTTTGGATAAATAGAAACTTAATAGCATTCTGTAGGTATATTAAATCATCTAAACCATTTGTGCAATTCACCAATGAAAGGTCACAGCTGTAAACCCTAATGTTGTCTTTACTTAAACAATCAAGTGTACTTGACTAAACATTACTTAAAATTTTGCATTTTGGCCCAGTCACTCAAAAATATAAGTTCAAATAACTTATTTACCTTCAAAATACCAAAACTTAAGATTTCAAGTGCTGTGAACTCAAAATAATGATTAAACCTTACAAAAGGTAATTTTCAAAAATGTCTTAACTGTGAAATGATACATTCATTCATGCTTTCTTCAAGTGCAAGGTGTCATTCTTATTTTACCAGAAAACAAATGGCTTTCATTTTACAATTATTGATTGTAATGGAAATAAACTGATGTTTATTTTTTTTTTTTTTTAAACGGATACTTTAAACTTAACAAATAAACTTTATTACCCAATTTTCATACATTTCACTGCACATATGCCACGTGCCAAAATGCATGAAAGAGTTCCTCACATCAGCCACCAACCAAGTCTCAATAAAAAAAAAAATATACAAAATAACAGAAATACAGCGACGACACATTATGTTGAACGTTAAATCAAATTCATTTCAAAGGTTTAAAACGTCTCTCTGATCTTCCTCTGATGCGATTTGCCACGCAAGCAGTTCTGCATGGCAACAACAGAACTAATGGGCTGATTGGTGGATTACAAAATTGGTGATTTTCGCATCGTCTCGTCAGTTGCTGACACCAGTTCAAATGTGAAGACGGGACGGGAGTTTTTCTTTGAGTAACATTCTCGGTAAGTACAATTATTAAGATATAAAGTTATTTTGCATGACTTTTTAACTCAGAAATATGTTTATTTAAATCCTTGCACGGTTAATAAAAGAGAACGCAGCCATAACGTTAATTAGTTCATGGTCAAACTTTTCCAACACGTTTTATGTGATGATATGATAACTGCGATATCAAACGATTCTTTAATTTATTAGTTTAATTGTGTAATCGTGTATTTCTCGGCAAAAGAACATAGTTAACTAACGTTAACGTTATTTGAGAACAGTCAACTTAGTGACGTTTTTTCTGGTCAATCTTTTGACAACCTCGACATTAATTAACAGTGTTTTCTTCATGACTTAGTTTGTGATAGTATGATTATTGAAATGTCAACTGCTTATTTTCTTATTTTACTAGTGAGATAGCTACATATTCGATTATCTTTTTTTCTGTGCAAGAAAGAACATGGCAGCTATGCACGGACCATGTGGGTTATTTTTCCCGGGGAAAGGTCAGTTTTACCAGTAACTTGCAAATATTTTCATGATACATTTCTGATTTTGACTTGTAAAACGTATTATTTCGTAAAGTATCTATCTTAAGTTATAAGAACATTTGTTACTAGCTACGAGTCTAGGACGAATGATGTTTCGTAGATTGAAAAATTAACGTCACGCTTGTCACCATTAATTACAGCGATTTAGTCATATGGAAAATACTATAGAAGTCAATGCGAACTAGCAACTTTTGGTTACAAACATTAAAAATATTACTTTTTGTTTTCAGCAGAATAAAGAAAACCATGCACACAACTGTTTGACAATGAGTAACGTTAGGCTATGATCGTTTTCATTTTTGAGTGGTCTTCCTTTAACGTGTTAAAAATATTTCTTAGCCTCTACATTTGTTTCCTAATTATTCAATTAAAGCATTTCAATGTGCACGCTAATGTGATTATGTGATCTGCTCTTATCTCCCCAGTTCAACAGAATTGCTGGCAAAAACCTAAAGCAGGATTTCTACGAGAACCTTGATAGATATAGTCCACGGTTCATGGACCTTTTTTAAGCCAAAGGGGAGACTCCTGGTCAGCAACGTTACTTGGCTAACTTTTTGAATCAAATAAAGGTTAGTAATGGTTAATAATAAAAAAAAGGTTTTGTCTTATTTAAGATAACTTAAAGGATAACTTTTATTCACCCTCAAGTTGTTCCAAACCTGTATACATTTCTTTGTTAACGCTGAACACAAAGGAAGATATTTTGAAGAATGTTTGTAATTGAACAATTTTGGGTACAATTGGTGTTCTTAGTATTGTTATTTTTATTTTTTTTAGCATGTATAACTCAATGTTGGCCCAAAACTGCTTGGTTACAAACATTCTTCAAAATGTATTCTTCCTTTGTATTCAACTGAGCAAAGAAATGTACAGGTTTGGAATAACTTGAGGGTGGCTAAATGATGACAGAAATTTCATTTTGGGGGAACTATATCTTTTAAGAGCATTCATTTAATCGTATATTCTTATAAAAGTTCTTATTGATTACAGTAGTTGTTGGCATTAATGGAATTTTGTGTTTTCCTCTAAAGTCAGCCCAACCAACGGAGGTCCTAACCCTTGTGATTCAAGGACTACCTATCATGCTTGGAGATGATGGTGACTTCATTTCTTCAAGTCATATTTAGTAAGTGCATCTGTTCTTCACGTGTTAACATTAAAACAACCACCTGTGCTCCCATTAGTCTAAGCATTTGTCAAGCATTTGAAAATCATGTTGATTTTAAAGCAATAGTTTCCCAAAAAAATTAAATTTGCAGGAAATGTTCTCACCTTCAGATTATTCAAGATGAAGAAGAGTTTGTTTCTTCATCTGAAAAGATTTGGACAACTTCAGCATTACATCACCAGCTCACAAATCGATCCTCTTTAGCAAACAGATGCTCAAACTTGTTCAAACAGCTGATAAAAACATCACAATAATCCACAATTAATCCACACGTTTGCTCTTTGGACTCTTACTTACAACACCCATTCGCTACAGAGGATCAATTTGGGAGCAAGTGATGTGATGCTACAGTTCTCCAAATCTTTTCAGATGAAAAAACAAAACAACAACTCTATATATTTAATGGCCCGAGAGTGAGTGCATTATTATGTTTGGGTGAATTATTAATTTAAAATACAAAGTAGCCAGTTCTTCAAATTAATAAATGTAATTTATACTGCATACTTTAAAAAAAAGTATTATCTTTGCTGGAAACATGTACATTTTCATAAAGTCAAATGCATACTTGTCCATATAATTTGGGATTAAGGTTAGTGCTATGTGTGTTTTTAATAAATCTAGTGCACGTTCTGATAAACATCAATTTATAAACATTTGATTCCTGATCGTAATACTCTATTTATGTATGTTTTTACACTAGGTGTCTGATCATCGCAACTCCATCCTTAATGTGCCAGTGGGCATCTTATTTGAGGACACTGACTTTCAGCCCCCAATTCCTTGTATTTAACTTCTACGATTGGAATAATAAAATGCAGGACCTCCCACAGGCTATGTGTCTCCTCTTCGGTCTGATCTACGAACTTGAACTGAATTACCCCAAATCATTTTGCAACACGTTTGATTTCATCCAGCGTGTGTTAATGTCAATGGGACAATATTCTCTCAAGCCTAAATTGCAGTCTCTGGCAAACCAGCTTTTTGTAAAAAAAAACAAAAAAAAAAAAAAAAAACTTCACTTTGAGACTTTAACACCACTCTGAGAATGTTCTACAAATGATTTGCAGGATATATATACCATGTATTGGTACCATTTTTACTACCTCTTCAGTTTTGTGACCCAGAAAATATTTGTTTAAAAAAAAAATGCCACTTTGAGACTTTAATATTTCTGAAAATGTTTTGTTTTGTGAGGGAAAATGGTTTAAATTGTGAAATGCTCTATAATTAATGTGCATTAGTCAATTTAGTATATTGTTACCATTGTTGGTAACAATACCTCTACAGTGTGTTCAATTACAGTATAGTTTGTACTGTAATATTGTGCAAATATTTGGTCAAAGACAGTGACTATGGTCAGTATGCTTTACTTATTTTGCTGTGATTGCATAAAGCTTAAACCAGTAAAATGTTAAAAGAATGTACATTACGTGTAAATGTTCAGTACATTTACAAAAATCTGAGACTTAAGTGTATTTTGTAAGTGATCAGAGTTGTACAATTGATATTGCACTACTTAATGTTAGATACTGTTGCCACATTTAAAGTTATGTACAGTGTGAGACTCATTTCCATTTGAAATTTTGATCAATAAAGACTCAAAAGATCAATATGTTGTTCATTGTTTTATGTAAGTGCAGTGTGCACACAGCTTACAGTCAAAAATAATATCTTTAATATTTTGAAATAATATTACAGTAACATTTTCATGTTGAGTTTACTTAAATATACAAGTACAATTGATATTAACACTAAGTTAAGTGAACTTTATTGTCTAAGTGTATTAAATAATCGTCAAGTTTGGTGAACTAAACAATTTAAGTCAAGTCTACATAACTACCAAGTTAAGTAAACTTAAATATGCAAGTTTTGGGTGACCCCATTACTCAATTAAATTGAGGGAACGAGTTTACTCAAATCAATTGAGTTAAATCAACTTATTAGGGTTTTCAGTGTACAGAGGGTCACTTGTGGGGTTCCACAGGGATCAGTCCTTGGACCAAAGCTATTTTTATTATTTATCAATGACATCTGTAAGGTGCTTACACAACTAAATTGTGTCTTATTTGCAGATGATACAACTCTATTTTGTTCCAGTCAAAATTTGGGACAGCTACAGTGGAAGCAGAAACGAAAATATATTTAAAAAAAATGGTTCGATGTTAATAAATTGTCATTAAATATAAGTAAAACTAAAATTATTTTATTTGGTAATAAAAAAAAAAAAATACAAATGTCCAGATTAGAATTGAAATGTCTGAACTAGAAATAGTTAGTGAAATTAAATTCTTAGGTGTCATTATTGGCAACAAACATAGTTGGAAATCCCACATAACTTACATAAAGTCAAAAATTGCAAAAAACTCTGGCTATTCTGTCCAAAATAAAATACATTCTTGATTCAAAGGCCGTTGAAATATTGTATCAGTCTCTAATAGTGCCATACATGACTTATTGCGTAGAGATTTGGGGAAATACATACAAAACAACAGTAAAACCAATTCTTCTTTTACAAAAACGTGCAATACGACTAATAAATAAAACAGATTATTATCACCCAACAAACAAGCTATTTATAAATTCCAACCTACTAAAATTTAATGATTTAGTAGAATTTAAAATAGCCAAAATAATGTTTAAAATGATAAATAATCAATTTCCAGACTGTGTCCGGAACCTGTTTCAAATGAAATCCACTCCTTATGAGCTCAGAGGAACACTCATGTTCAATAAACCACAGATTAGAACAAATGTTAAACAGAGATGTCTGTCTGTTAAGGGGGTTAAAATGTGGAATAGTCTCGATGATGAACTGAAAACATGTAAATCTATAGGCAGCTTTAAGAAATTGTATGTATAAAAAAAAGATTACATTATACAAAGCTGAATAAGTTTAGCTTTCCTTTCTTTTAGTTATTATTTTCGCAAAATGACTTACAGTACGGTACTGTGTGTTAAATAAATAAAATGTAAAAAGGATCGGCGCAATAAGCATAAGCTTCAGCCGACACCTTTTCGGTTTTTAGTATTGTTTATATTGTATTTTCACTTTTGTTTCTATATTTGTTTGTAAACTTCTTTTTGAAGCTGACCGAAATAAAAATTATGAATGAATGAATGAATGAATGAATCCATCGCCACCTCAGCAACAAGCTAATATCACAATGTTTGCAATGCGTTTGGCATCAGTGTACTAAAATATAATGTGTTTCTGGTCTTAGTTTTCTCTTTTTCTTTCTGGTTTGCCTGTCTCTCAGATACAGAAAATGTAGCTTTTTGTACTCATGAGAATATTTTCTTTTTTAAGATGCATAAAAATAGTAATATGTGTAGCCCTAATGAACCATGAATGTTGGTGGGGAAAAAAAAAACTCAATAAGAAACATTTTGGCTGGAAGTTTTGCTTTTACATTTGTAATCACCAAGACTTTCAGCCATTGAGCCACTGATTAAGGCAATTACACACACACACACACACTAAAAGGAGGTTGATCGCTGCAGAGCCGGAGCGCTAACGCTAATGCCATTCTCACTGTTAACCTTTGAGTAATCACTGTTGAACTAGCATGAGCCGCACTCACATTACCGCATGCCCACGCTCACCATTAGCGGCGTACAAATGTGCTATTCATTTTCATTAGTGCCAGCTTCACTTCTGATTCCCAAGCAGCAGCTTTGCGGAGTGGGTGGTTGAGGAGAGACATTCCCTCTCCGTGACCTCCGAAGCACCAGGTCAGACAAAAAGCTTCTCTTAAAAAGGACACTATGTACTCTAATTCTAGCCATCATTTATTTACACTAGTCATATCTTTCAAAACTGAATACTAAGGCCCTGTATACTGGTATTAAGAAGCATTTTCGTCGATCGGATCACAAGTACGGCAGAAACACAGTCCACTTTCAGTGTAGTTTCTGCACAGCCGCGAGATAACGGCAAACACTGTGAGTGTGTGTTAAAAATCATCATGCTTGGTATGGTTTTCGTCTTCAAACCAAAGTTGTCTTCAGGCGACAAAGTTTAAATCCCATCTGTTTACGCATTAGGTCAGACGCAGAGTAGACGTCTTTTTTGGCTTGTTCGAGCATTCAACCACGTGTGTTTACACACCGATTGAATGCCTTTCCAACTTCCTCTGGAAGTGGTTGAACATGGACAAGCTGAAAATATTTTAGACCCCTATCACGCCTGTATTTAGCGTCGTACACTAAAGGAATAGTTCACCCAAAAATGACAATTCTGTCATACGTTACTTACCTTCAAGTTGTTTTGAACCTGTATGAACACTTTACTTGAAGGGGTGTGCATAAGACTGACATGACACCTTCATAACCATGACATGACACATGTCTTGAATATTAAGTAGGGTTTATGCATGTTTATGACAACTGTCATTAAGTGTCTCTTGCTAAATAATGACATTTTGAATGCAAATATGACATTGTTTGAGACATAAACATCAAAACCTGTCAGTAACTTTGTCATGACAACTTGACATTAAATGAAGTTAAAGGGTTAGTTCACCCAAAAATGAAAATTAAGTCATTAATTACTCACCCCCATGCTGTACCAACCCCGTAAGACCTTCGTTCGTCTTCGGAACACAAATGAAGATATTTTTGATTAAATTTGAGAGCTGTATAACTACCACATTGGCTGCCTAAGGGACTGCCTCTTGACGGCCCAGAAAGTCAATGAAGAAAATGTTTAAATATCCCAAGTGACTACCGTGGCTCAACTATATGTTTATCAAGCGACGAGAATACTTTTTGTGCGAAAAAACAAACAAAAATAACGAGTTTATTCGACTATTTCTTTTCTTCCTTGTAGGCCAGAACGAGACTTCCTTAGATTTCCACGACGCATGCGCGAGAATTGCGATCTGAAGTGGTGTAAGCAGATCGCAAATCTCGCGCATGCGTCGTGGAAATCTATAAGGAATTCTCATTCTGGCCTACAAGGAAGAAAAGAAATAGTCGAATAAACTCGTTATTTTTGTTTGTTTTTTCGCACAAAAAGTATTCTCATCGCTTGATAAACATATAGTTGAGCCACGGTAGTCACTTGGGATATTTAAACATTTTCTTCATTGACTTTCTGGGCCGTCAAGAGGCAGTCCCTTAGGAGCCAATGTGGTAGTTATACAGCTCTCAAATTTAATCAAAAATATCTTCATTTGTGTTCCGAAGACGAACGAAGGTCTTACGGGGTTGGTACAGCATGGGGGTGAGTAATTAATGACTTAATTTTCATTTTTGGGTGAACTAACCCTTTAAACTGCCGTGTGGTTGGCTTTGACATTGGCTGTCATGAGGCATTATAACTGTCATGAATATTTTTCGTGTCCTCAACTACAGTGGTACTAATTGCATTTGTCATTAAAAAGTTATAATGTCTTCATGGCAGCCAATGTCAAAACCAACCACCTGATAGTTTAATGTAATGTTAACCAATAAAGCTAGATGCTTTCTTAAGTTTGATCATTAATCTGCTATGTCATGTTTATGACAGGTTGTGTTGTCTTAGTAATGTCAAGTTGTCATGACAAAGACACTGACAGGTTATGATGTATTGGTTTATGTCAAGGTGTCATGACAAAGACATCGCAAACAATGTCATATTTGCATTCAAAATGTCATAACTGAGCGAAAGACACTAAATGACAGTTGTCACAAACATGCATAAAACTTATGACAATTATTAATCATATCATGATTATGAAGGTGTCCTCATTGACTTCCATGGTATGACATTTTTTTTGTGTGAAAACCGTGATCCATTGTTTCAGGACTATTTAATGAATAAGTTCAAAAGCACAGCATTTATTTCAAATATAAATCTTTTGCAATATAAATGTATTTACTGACACTGCTGATCAATTTAATGCATCTTTGCAGAATTAAATGTATTTTATTTTCTTTCAACACATTACTATCCCCAAAAAGTATATATTATTATTATTGGTAACATACTTTGTATAGTGCCTTTAAAAGTTGCTTTATACACTCTCAGAAAAAAAAGGTACAACAGCTGTCACTGGGGCTGTACCTTTTCAAAAGGTAAACTTGTGTACCCAAAGGCTGCATATTGGTACCTTAGTTGTACATATTAGCACCTAAAATGTACATATTAAGACCTAAAATATATTAGATCCCGAAATGTACATATTAACACTTAAAATGTACATATTAGCACCTAAAATGTACATATTACGACCTAAAATGGACATAGTAACTCCAGAAATGTACATATTAACACTTAAAATGTACTTATTAGCACCTAAAATGGACAAAAGTTTACCTTTCGAAAAGGTACAGCCCCAGTGACAGCTTTTGTACCTTTTTTTTCTGAGAGTGTATACATAATTTAAATACAGTCAATGTAAATACTTAATGTAAATACAGTATGACATGCACATGGGGCTGGCTCACATAACTGCTTAAAA